TAAGTGAATATTCTATAAACTACTCATTTCTCATGGCAAACTGTTGGTCGTTACCAGAGGGTTTCCCATCATCACTGCGTTTCCCATCAGCAAAGAGAAGAACATGTCACTGAGGTGCAGCTGCATCATGCCTACAAGCACTGGAGCGAGCTCCCCTGAACCGCGGAGGCTGCGTGCATCGCGGTGTGCGAAACTCGGAGTCCCAAGTTGGGAAAGAACTGGAGATGCTACGTTAGACATGTGGATAGATTTTTTCCATTTGGAGTTGCAATTGTAGTTTGTTTGTTTTTTGGGTCTGCAAAAAGATGGATTCAGATGGATTTATTTACTATAAACATGTAGTTTGTAGCAGTACATCAACCAACCACCAAGGTACCCTTGAATATGGCTTTATACGAGTTGAAAGCATTTAAACGTGGCGCAGAATGGATTGAACATGTTGAAAACATTGAAAGATCTGTTTCACTGGGCTTGACCGGGTCCGCGTGAAAATGGGCGAAAGTTGTCCACACATTTTTGGGGCACACGGTATGGTAATCCTTTACGGTTTAAGGATTTTAGGGGATGTAAAGTTTACACTTGTTAGGTCGAGAAATTTTGATCGTATTGGAAGGACGGAAAAAGGGTTGGGTTGCCACATGCCACTTGACTTGACATTGAACAACGTGAGACTCAAGCTATAGTTTTGGCGTGAAATTGCAGCGATGTTGGTTTTGTTTGACAGAAGGTGATGTTCCCTACAGATGAATTGGTTATAGACCCATCTGACTACAGTTATAATATCCCCTCAACTACATAAGGTCTAGAGTACCCAGGCCTCCAGGCTTCAGGGGCCCAGGGTCTAGAGTACTTCCAGGAGCACTGTAGACCCTCTGCATTTAAGGTACTATAGACCCTTGAGCGTGTCTATGTTGGACATGATATATGGATGTCCCATAATTTTCAACTTTGAAGATGTAAGGCAGATCTTGTTTTTTCAAAGGTCTGGACAGCTTTTCTGGCAATCATCAGGACAGGTTGGTTTTGCTGACCATTGTAGCTCTAGACCTTTGCCAAGCTAGATTCCCCAGTTCTTACAGAGGTCTGGACAGCGTTTCTGGCACTGATCAAGATAGGTTGGTTTTGCTGACCATTGGACCTTTGCCAAGCTAGATTCCCCAGTTCTTACAGCATTTCTGGCACTGATCAAGACAGGTTAGTTTTGCTGACCATTGTAGTCCTAGACCTTTGCCAAGCTAGATTCCAAAGTTTGTCCAAAGGTCTGGACAGCGTTTCTGGCCTTGATCAACACAGATTGGTTTTGCTGGCCATTGTGTTTCTAGACCTTGCCACGCTAGATTCATAAGATTTCATAAGATTTTTCCAAATTGTTATTCATAAGATTTGATAAGTTTTTCTCCAAAGTGTTATACATAAGATTTCATATTTTTTCCAAATTGTTATTCATAAGATTTGATAAGATATTTTTTGCAAATTGTTTTTCATAAGATTTCATAAGTTTTTTTTCCAAATTGTTATTCATAAGATTTCTTAAGATTTTTCCAAATTGTTTTCATAAGATTTCATAAGATGTTTTTTTCCAAATTGTTATTCGTAAGATTTCATAAGATTTTTTTTTTCCAAATTGTTATTCATAAGAATTCATAAGATTTTTTCCAAATTGTTATTCATAAGATTTCATAAGTTTTTTCCAAATTGTTATTCATAAGATTTCATAAGTTTTTTTTGCAAATTGTTATTCATAAGATTTGATCAGATCTTTTTTTCCAAATTGTTTTTCATAAGATTTCATAAGTTTTTTTTCCAAATTGTTATTCATAAGAATTCATAAGATTTTTTCCAACTGTGAAAAACTTGTGACAGCAGCGAAGAAAAAAATGAGCGAGAGAAAACATGTTGTTTGGAACATTTTTTGTATTTTTGACGCATGGGTAAACGTCTTCAGACCTTCAGCATCTGTAAGGTCGAAGGGTCTAGACTATTGAGATTGTTTTACGTGATTTAGCTATGTAACTCTTCTTCAGACCCCGTTTTTAGGGTCTACAGTGTAAGATCCAGGGTCCCTGCCAGGCAGCTGATGGTATGTTATAATCATATAAGTTATAATCACCTTAAAACAACATCGCTAACGATGTTGGGCACCACCTTGCATGATGTGGGTGAAAGTGGTTCATACTTTGTGGCCCATTTCTGAGGTACACGATAAATTTTGACCGGTGCCTATCCAATCCATATTTTGTTTCATGGCAAGTTGTATGGTTGTATGATATTGATACTGATTATACATATATATATACTTATATATATATATACTTATATATATATATATATCTTTATTTAATTAATTAATTAATTTGTTGAGTTGCTTAGCCCCTGTGCTTCGCAGAAAAAAAGGAAATAGACCCTGGGAAGTGTTTTTGGCCTACTCCGGGGGGTATCCATACACTAATGACATGGACCAAGAGGCAAAAACACTTCTTTCATTTTGAGCATTCACGAGTGAGGCTGTTATGTTTGGGATTATATAGCCTCATTCATTGAGAGAGGCTGATCGCCCAACCCCCTTTAAGTCACAAGAACCTGGCTGAACCAACAGGCAAGAAATTAAGCAATAAGCGTAGATAAAACATGTTTCGTTTAACAACACCTATATAAAAATATCATTTGTCACTGGTGTTTAGATTTGGCTCTGAAATTTGAAGATGAGACAACAACAACAACAACAAATAACATTTTTGGGCAGCACCAGTCATCATACCACAAAGTGAATCTAAAGCTGATGATATGATGTCAGAAATCGTCTGCAAAATCATAGATTGATATTCTATATTAAATGAGCGACGGCGCCGAAGGCGCCGCCGCCGAAACTGCTGTTTGCTTGATTGATTGATGATGAAATGTCGCAAATTCGTAATGTTTGCAAAACTTGGACAAACTTGGCAAAACTTGGTAAAACTTGGCAAAACTTGGCAAAACTTGGTAAAACTTGGTAAAACTTGGTAAAACTTGGTAAAACTTGGCAAAACTTGGCAAAACTTTGTAAAACTTGGTAAAACTTGGTAAAACTTGGTAAAACTTGGTAAAACTTGGTAAAACTTGGTAAACTTGGTAAAACTTGGTAAAACTTGGTAAAACTTGGTAAAACTTGGTAAACTTGGTAAAACTTGGTAAAACTTGGTAAAACTTGGTAAAGCTTGGTAAAACTTGGTAAAACTTGGTAAAGCTTGGTAAAACTTGGTAAAACTTGGTAAAACTTGGTAAACTTGGTAAAACTTGGTAAAACTTGGTAAAACTTGGTAAACTTGGTAAAACTTGGTAAAACTTGGTAAAACTTGGTAAAGCTGGGTAAAACTTGGTAAAACTTGGTAAAACTTGGCAAAACTTGGTAAACTTGGTAAAACTTGGTAAAACTTGGTAAAACTTGGTAAAACTTGGTAAAACAAGTGTTTGGTAAAACTGGTACCCAAAACTTGGTAAAACTTACCAAATAAGTGTTTTTCATTGGTAAATTTGCTTTTGAATAAGTGTTTTTCAGCTTCAAATTGCTTCTTTTGAATAAGTGTTTTTCAGCTTCAAATTGCTTCACTTGGTAAAACTTGGTAAAACTTGGTAAAACTTGGTAAACTTGGTAAAACTTGGTAAAACTTGGTAAAACTTGGTAAACTTGGTGAAACTTGGTAAAACTTGGTAAAACTTGGTAAACTTGGTAAAACTAGGTAAAACTTGGTAAAACTAGGTAAAACTAGGTAAAACTTGGTAAAACTTGGTAAAACTTGGTAAAACTTGGTAAACTTGGTAAAACTTGGTAAAACTTGGTAAAACTTGGTAAAACTTGGTAAAACTTGGTAAACTTGGTAAAACTTGGTAAAACTTGGTAAAGCTTGGTAAAACTTGGTAAAACTTGGTAAAACTTGGCAAAACTTGGTAAACTTGGTAAACTTGGTAAAACTTGGTAAAACTTGGTAAATCTTGGTAAAACTTGATAAACTTGGTAAAACTTGGTAAAGGTGGTAAACCCAAAAAAAACTCGGCGCCTGCGGCGCCCTTAGGGATATAGTTTTGATGCTACATGGTATTACAGTACGACAGTACTCAGTCATGACGCAATAAAATACTCATATCCTATATATATGTGTGTGTCTGTATATGTACCATGATAGCCTTTTGAAAATCGCTGCTGTGGTGCCATTGTCGGCATAGTACTATTTAGTTTAAGGAAACAAAGCAGCGCCTGGAGCGCCATTGGGGACATAATTTTCACACTGTGAATTCTGTCGCAATGAAATACTCATAGATTCATAGATTGAAAAATTGGCGCCTGCGGCGCCAATGGAGAGGAGAGCTATATAGATAAAATGTCATCAAAACACCGACACCAGTAAGTCAGTAGGACCCAACCAAGATTTATTCACAGACAGGGCATTTATACATAATAATAGAATATAATACGAGCAGATATGAACTACTGATAAAACAATGTGTATAATATATTATAAATATAAATACATATATAATATATGTATGTATATATATATATATATCTTATCTAATATATTCTAATACATTATATGTTACTGACATGTTAAGTTGCTTATCCCTGTTCTTTCGTGAAAATTGAAGAAAGAGACCCGAAGAAGTGTTTTTGACCTAAGCTTGGAGGGTATCTCACTCCTGTCGCTCTGAACATGGGTGAAAAACACTTATTACACCCAAAAACGCTATATCTAAGCAACTTAACAAATTAATTAATTAATTTATTTAGTTATTTATTCTTACAATTTACACAATATATGCATATACATGTGATCTCTTTGTCCTGAACATGTGTGGTCTAAAACTAGTTACAAGCCCTCGTGTTGGCGAACTCCACATGTTGCGCATCTCACTTTGGGGGTTGACCTTGGACCACTCAGCTGTAGCAAGTCCAGTCACACTTGATCTGGGACCACTTGGACCACTGCTGTCTCAAGGTCTGCGGACCACAGGACCAACATCTGTGTGAATGAATTGGCAGTATTTGGAGGCATATATGCCATAATCCTCTAATATGAGTATTTGGAAGATTTTGGAAGCGCTTAATATTAGTTATTCATAATGTTCATTGAAGATACCGTAATAATTCGAAAGAAGTTTCAAATCTTTACATAATATATCATAATATCAAATACTTCCGGGAAAACATGGTTTAGTATAGGATCAAAACATGAATCATGGAACATTGGCCGATTAGGTTCATCCCAGATGTCGGAGTTTAACTTATTTAACTTGAAAGCCTGCAAGGGATTCTGAAGACGCTAGCGTTGAACAGGTATTGTTCGGGGTTTCTGGAACATGTAGCACAGTTGGGCTGATTTTTTCGGCAAACCATGGTGCTTGAAGCCCTGCTTGGATGCAACCCTTAAAAAATGTCCATATGTGCGGTGCTTAATGTCCTTGGCAGTGCTTGGATGACCAAAATAGAACACTTTGAGAATTTTCGTGTTTAATTCATGTTAACCTCACATATGTCCACGTTTTTGCTTGATATTTCAGGGGGTGAAAGACAGGATCCATCTCAGGCTTTGCCTCCGTTCCACTATCTGGACAGTGAAGACAGTGTCAAACGGGCGACCAAACAGGTCTGCATGGAGGGTTGATGGTTGCTTTAGCCATCCAAACTCCTAACATGGGATACTTACCAACAAAAAGTGTGGATGCAAGAGACAATTTCTACTATTGCAGGAATACCTGAAAAATCCTGAAAATTGGGTGGTTCGATGGTTGTATACGTGGGTTTTCCACTGATGGATGGTGAAGTGTGGCCTTGGAGACGTGTGATATCCGTCCCTTCACTAAGAGTTGGTCTCTTTGCGCATGGAAAAAATTGGAATGGGGTAATTTTCACCATGGTACATGGTACGCTATCCAAACTAGAGATATCCAACCAAATGGTTCTTGGGGGTGCCACTGAGGTGAAATGCCCTCTGGTAATTTGTTACATAGCTATGGACAATTAAAAGTGGGGATTTTCCAGTTCGCTATATTGTTACTAGAGGGTAAATCCATAAAACCATGGATTTTTAATTATTTTCATCGGTTGGATGGTTGGGATTTGGAGCCCCGACAAAACTATGGTTATTTAAAGTTACATATCCAAGTAGAGCTGGAACTGCAGCCCCAAGCGGAGATTTAACTACAAATAGTGCAAACATGATGTTGCCTACATGACTGGGTTCATTTTTGATGTACATGTTGATAGCTATTTTGCAGCGTTGGGGTCATGTTGCATTGGACCATGGATCTTTGCTTCCACGCACCTGCCATGGCCAGACTTCGATGAGCCGGCAGATTTGTTGGGTGATTGTTTTTAGTGCGCAAAGTGTTAGCCTGAATAACAACGCGATGATCACCCTGATTTTCAGGGGAAATCCACACTGGGAACTCGGAAATCCACATGAAGCAACTCCAATTAGGTGGGAAGATCATCTGGATCGCCGTGGTTTTAGCTCAAGGGCTTCACTGCAGCCCTGGCTGAAACATTTTCCCAAAAGAACATCCACTACTTGGGCAATCTGGGAATATGTGTTGTTTTCTTTGGGTCCTGAAGCAAATCACTTGTGATTTGTTTTTTCCCTAAAGCACAAAAAAAAACACATCGATTTCACCAGCGCAAGGAGAATCAAACTCTGGACTTTGGATGGTTATTGCAGTTTTAGACATGACCAGAAAAGAACTTCCGGACTAGGGGTCATACCCCTGTGTGGTATGGATTCGTTGATCTTCCCCAGGCATCATTCTGGATTGCCTCTGGTAGTGACTAACGGTTTACTATGGAAGGCGATCATCTTTAATAGAAAGCTAATGTATAAAGGTGTTTCTTCCATAATGGCTATATATATATATAGATTGTTGGAGGGGAAGGAATTACCCTCCAATAAATATGTTCCACCGAGAAACAAGATTAGTATTGACTGATTGTATCCATTACCAACATACCATGCTTTGAGAGCTGGGTTAAGATTCGCATACACAACAAGAGCTCAAGAGCTCAAAAGAGTAGTGTACATGGTCAATGGCGGCTATGAAGCTTTTTGCCAAGCGATGTCAGGAAGGGCACCTCAGAAATTGGACGTGCCTACCAGGGATAGTCGTTCTAAACCATGTGTTTCTCCACATATCCTCAGTTGTTTATGGGATATTTGCTTAGTATTAGGTAATAGTTGGGATCCACAGCCAAGTAGCAGATGGGAGTTTGTGTTTGAAAAAAACACCTTTGGGAAGTTTCGAGAGATGCAGAACATGTTTCGGAGCTGTTGAAAATCTCAAAAGCCGCTAAACTCACAGATGATTGTCTCACGCGTCCATGAATCATCCAGTGAATTTGTCCGACAGTTGATGTGCATTGCTGTCCATTGATGTCCATTCTGTTCGCAGACAGAGAAGTTGTTCAACCCAAAATCACCTGGTTTGAGGCCCTTTTCGGAATTCATGAAGAAATAATCCAAGCCTCCAAGTGACGACGTGTTCCAATCTACATGCGCATGCACAGGCACGCACATTTGCATATTACGTAGTCAAACATGGCTGGAAAATCCAACATTTAGGTTTTAGTTCAATGGTTTTCCCACCAAGACCTCCATTGAGTGAGATTTCCCAGCTATCCATGTTTGTTTGATTAGCGGAGCTAGATGTAGTACGAAACGTAAAAATTGCACGGTCGGACCCACCAAGTAGCGGTTGCTGCTCCCAATCCTTGGAAAACTCGGGATGTCAGGTCCAAGAACTGCCAAAAGTGAGGCAACTCTAGGTGAGCTATGGTCAATACTCATGGTTAATAACCATTAATAGGGGCTAGTCATCCAATGGTTCATAGGGATTTATACTAACCATTATAAGGATCCTTATTATGGATGGGATGACCATCAACCATATAGTGAGTATTGACCATGGCTCAGGTGGTTTTAACATGGTTTAAAGATTTGTGGGATCTTCCATTGTATGTCCCATATTAGCTCACCATGGTGCTGGAATATGTATCCCAACATTTCCCCGGCTGTCCAGAATCACCCAGTCTTGTAGGTTTTTATATACCAGCACCATGGTGAGCTAATCTGGGTATTCTCGTGAGGTTTCTGGGACAGCAAGTTGGGACTGCCATTCAATCGTCGCAGTTTGAAGCTTCAGGTCCGCGGCACAAGTGACAAGGGGTCCAGAAAATTGTCGCCAAGCTGCCCTCGATTTTCTTGGATTCAGGACCCCTTTGGGGCCGTTGAAAAAAATGTGAATGTTTATGGAAACGGCAGAAATAGAGATATATCCTGAAATCATACTTGTTAGATCAACAAATGATGAAAGTAATGAAAACTAGTTCGATAACTGCAACAATATATTGCTTTTTTGTCTGAAAACATGTTTTAAATCCGAATCAAATGTTAAAACTGTTAAAAGCTGATGGTCAAAATCAACGAATTCACCTGGATTTTTGTCCACCATGGCCATGGGTCACGATCGTGCAAGCTTTGCGATGGCGGAACTCAGCAACTGGGCGCCAAAAGCAGAGTGGGAGGCCCCAACAAACGACCTGGTGGATTTTGCATTAAGAATTGTGCAATTTACGAGATTCCAACAAAAAAGTAGCGAATGAATGCAAATGACATTACAATCTGATTGGCTTAATTTTGGAACTCCAAGAGCTGACAATTTGTGTATATATATGACTTATATGACCATATATATAATATAATTCCAAGATTACAGTTCCGCTGCTATGCGCAGCACTATTGGAGGTGACATGGCTCACGAATCCACCACTGGTTAGTAGGCGCTGACACTGGTGGCTTTTGGAATGGGAATGAACTCACTCTTGGACATAGATATCAAATTACTGATTGGTGGTTTGGAACATTTTTATACATTTTTTATTTTCCATAAATCCTTCCCATTGACTAATATTTTTCAAGATGGTTAAAACCACCAACCAGATTAAGACACCAGAGGAGCCGGAAACAAGCCCTGGTTTCAGCTACCGGCGCTGTTAACGGACCCACAGGTTTTGCTGTTTTTTTGCTGTCGCATTGCACGTCAGTTAGAAGTCTTGCACGTCAGTTGGAAGTATTGCACGTCAGTTGGAAGTATTGCCCGTCAGTTAGAAGTATTGCCGTTAGTTAGAAGTATTGCCCGTCAGTTAGAAGTATTGCGCGTATGTTGGAAGTATTGCCCGTTAGTTAGAAGTATTGCACGTCAGTTAGAAGTATTGCACGTCAGTTAGAAGTATTGCCCGTTAGTTAGAAGTATTGCCCGTTAGTTAGAAGTATTGCACGTCAGTTAGAAGTATTGCACGTCAGTTAGAAGTATTGCACGAAGGATAGTGTGATTTTCTTGGGGAACCGGGTGGGGGGGTGGGGGGGTGGGGTGGGGGGGCAAGGGGTACGCTGTAACACGTCTCTTGTCACTTGCCAGACGCTCTGGATGCTACGCTGTAGCATGTTCTCAGGACGCAAGAAGAAACCATTACCCATCTACTTCCTCACGCACTTGCGTTGGGCTGGTTGCGTGGAGCGTGGAGAGGGAGGACGCTTGCTTCTGTGCCAACTCAATCACATCTTGTTGCAGCCTGGATCATGTCCTGCCACAGAGTCTCTGCGAGATGTTCGAAAAACCGAATTTTCTTGGGCAGTTGAAACGTCCTTGCACTGTATATGGGGATGGTGCAAAAAGATGGAAATCTGAGTGCAAACGGCATCGCCTTTGCTTCCGCGATGTGACACACTACAAGATGGAGTTCACTCGAAAAACCAAAGTCAAACAAAAGGTACACATCAGTGGAACACAGTTGCTGGACCAGGTCTGGCGCCACCTGAAGCGCTTCGTACCCTTCTCGCTCCATAGCAAAGACAAAGTTACCAGGAAGGATTCTCAAAGAATCCAACAATATATGTGGTCCTTCGCCTATCGTTGGAACCACAAGGAGGACTTGAAAGGAAGCCTCGCCAACTTGTGTGCAAAGGTCAACAAACGCAAACGCTGAATCCATGAAGGAAAAAAGTTGAGCTTCAAAAGCTGTGGAGGTTTCGTTTTCCAAAATCCACATTTGTCAATTATTTAGCCCAATAGAATTCAATGATCAATGAATAAATTCCTAGCGTAACGTGGGACGAAAACAACATTTCTAATTCTGGGTAAAATAACAAAAAACGTCACGGCGCCACAGTTTTAAACAAATCCATACCTATAGTGACCGAGGGAAAGATAGAATGAGCGTTTGGAAAACCGCTATGATTTTTTTTTGGCCAAATGCAAGGCAAAACCCCTCATTCTAAGTGAAGGCACCCGATTTTTCCATTTATCACCACAGTTAGAATGACGTCGTTTTTGCGCTTTAGGCTCTGACTTTGCGGCATGTGTGGGGAACTCTGCATTTTGGCGACCACAGATAGAATGACGACCAAACAGATGCCGAAACCGTTACACAGTCCCAATCCGTTAGATTCTTCCAGAAAAGTGTCGTTTAGTCCATGCCACCCATACCCTTCCGCCTAGGATGCTTCATAAACACCACCATCATCATCACATCATCTAAATCACTTGATCTAATCACTTCGTCATTACTACCACCATCTGCAAGAGCCATGGACGACATCAGGGAGGGACTCCTGCTATCAGCACCACCAGGCCTGACTGGTTTTGGGCCTGCCCTCAAGCTTTACACCGAGAGAGAAGGGGAGAGACAGTTAGATATAGATATCGATGTAGATATGCATACACAGCATGTACATATTCATATTTATATACATACGCGCACACCTGCGATATTTCAGTGTGTGTATATAAATATACTGATATTTGCATATAAGTAGAGGATCCGGTGCTCCTCTTTGACAAATATTTCCCTTTCAATTTCAAGCATGCTGCAGGCGCTGAACCTTGGGAACGCAGGGAGCTGGCTCCCCTGCCACCACCTGATGAACCTCCCCCGGAATCGGTGGAGACGAATTCACCGACGGCTGAGCCATCGGCAAGTTCAGTTGAACCTTCTGCGATGACAGCCCAGCCCGTCCCTACTCCAGACCTTCCCGCCGGGATCAAAGAGTTCAAAACCACGTGCCTTGGAATTGGTCATGGGTGAAAACTAAGTGGATCACTTCAGTTTAACTTTGGAAGATTATCCCGGTATGGTTTTTTCACTGGTGTAGGTGGGGAAACTGCTGAAATTTGTGAGGCTGAGTTAGAATGGGGTGCTTGATTCAGAAGCTTTGCTTCCCCCCTACCAAGCTTTGCCCGAGAGCCGCAGGTTTCAAGTGAAAATAGAGGGGAAGACGCGGATCTTCCCAATCAAGCTATACGGTGACAAGCTAGCCGCCCGAAAAGCAGCTGTCACGTTTCAGCAGCGGGTCACCCGCATGCTGACCCGATGTGAGGTGATGAAGGGTCAGGCACGGATCTGAGAACCCAAGTAAATACTTTGACCTTCAAGCCTTCCTTATTGTGCGAATTTGCATATACCCATATATACCCATCTATAATACTTCCCCATTGTTTGGGTACTTTTACCTTTTTTTTATAGGGTACTTGGGGGTTTAGGTATTCTGGAACAGTCATTCTAACTCAGCTGGAGAAAAATGTTCAGCCCAGGGGGATCTAACAGAATCGAACGTTCCTTCAAAAGAATCATGTAAGTTGATGGGAGCTCGTAAGTTCATTAAAGATAACCAGGGTATAATGGGGTAGGTATGCTTCTGCCCCTGGTCAGGAACGTGTTGTTTGGTTCCAAGAACAGGGTGTTGAGATCAAAGGCAAGAGCAATGCTGACAAGAAACGCAATCTTCTGCAGCTTTGCTGTGACGGTAAAGCAGGCACGGTGGGGATGCCACCCATCTTCTCAAGTTGGTCCTTACTGGTGTAATTATTCAATCTGCCCAAGTCTTTAGTGTTTTGCTATGCCCTGAACAGGTGGTGTGGAAAGTGATATCCTTGCTGCTTTGGTGCCAACGGACAAGGGGTCCCTCACCAAGAGCGACGATGATACTTACACAGCTACCTTTACCCAGGGTGAAGAGACAATCACCAGAGTTTTCCCAATGCCTGGGCCTGCAATCAACTGGCTGGCACGAACCGGTGCGGGCATGCTCAATCCAGGACAAGGTTTAAAAAATCTACGTGGACACGAAAAACAGGCCGCTGAGGCCAGGCTTGGCCCAAAAGCGAGAAGTATAAGCTGACCCTATTCCACCATTATCCACCATATTCAATCCATATTCCATCATATTCCACCATATTCCACCATTATCCACCCATATTCCACCCATATTCCACCATATTCCACCATATTCCACCATATTCCACCATTATCCACCATATTCCACCATATTCGACCATATTCCACCCATATTCCACCATATTCCATCATATTCCACCATATTCCACCCATATTCCACCATATTCCTCCATAGTCCACCATATTCCACCATGTTCCACCATGTTCCACCATATCCCACCATATTCCACCATATTCCACCATATTCCATGGAATTCCACCATTATCCACCATATTCCATCATATTCCACCATATTCCACCATAGTCCACCATATTCCACCCATATTCCACGATATTCCACCATATTCCATCAGATTCCACCATAGTCCACCATATTCCACCAGATTCCACCATTATCCATCATATTCCACCATATTCCACCATATTCCACCATATTCAACGATATTCAACCATTATCCACCATATTCCACCATATTCCACCATATTCCACCATTATCCACCATATTCCACCACTACCCACCATATTCCACCATATTCCACCCATATTCCACCCATATTCCACCCATATTCCACCATATTCCACCACCATATTCCACCATATTCCACCATATTCCACCATATTCCACCCATATTCCACCATTATCCACCATATTCCACCATCTTCCACAATATTCCACTATTATCCACCATATTCTACCACCATATTCTACCACCATATTCTACCGCCATATTCTACCACCATATTCTACCACCATATTCCACCATATTCCACCATATTCCACCATTAACCACCATATTCTACCATTATCCACCATTATCCACCATAGTCCACCATAGTCCACCTATACCATATTCCACCATATTCCACCATATTCCGCCATTACCCACCATATTCTACCATTATCCACCATTATCCACCATATTCCACCATATTCCACCATATTCCACCATATTCCAGCATATTCCACCATATTCCACCCATATTCCACCCATATTCCACCATATTCCACCATATTCCATCATATTCCACCATAGTCCACCAGTATCCACCATATTCCACGATTATCCACCATATTCCATCCATATTCCACCCATATTCCACCATATTCCATTATATTCCACCATTATCTACCATATTCCATCATATATTCCACCATATTCCACACATTATCCACCATAGCCCACCATTATCAACCATATTCCACCATTATCCTTCATTATCCACCATTATCCACCATATTCCACCATATTCCACCATAGTC